GTTGCGCTATTAGTCTTATTCCTGTTATTATCCGTACTACTCTTATTATGAGTAGTGCTAGTTTTCGTCGTATTCCTCTTCTCTTGTTTGTAATTCGTATTACGCGTCTGATTCTTCATAATAGTAGCATTATTGATCGTTTTTTTCTTCTCAGTACTCGTTTATGTCTTCTTCGTGTTAGTACGATTATCCTTATTATTGTTCTGAGTCATAGTATGTTTTCTCCTCCTCCTCCAGAATTGCACAATATGAATACTACTCTTCTCCATCCCCTGATGGCGTGCAGAAGATAGGGGGCACCCCTCCGCGTACTGTTTCTTACACACAAGAATTCCCGGAGTTGAGTTTTCGCTTGGGTTGTTTTCAAAATGATGCTCTCGCTGGGGCGCGGGCTTCATTTTCGGGCTTCCGCTCGTTCCGAATCGTGCTCCCGCTGCAGCGCTAGCCTCATTTCCGTGCTTCCGCTCGTTCCGAATCGTGTTCCCGCTGCAGCGCTGGCCTCGTTTCCGCGCTTCCGCTCGTTCCGAATCGTGCTCCCGCTGCAGCGCTGGCGTCATTTCCCGTGCCATGCCACGGCATGCAATGCAATGCTAGGTTGCGTTCCGCTGCGCGATACCATGCCTTCAGCTGCAGCTGTCATATCCAATGCTTAAGTGCCACGTCATGCTATGCCATGCTACGCTTTGATCTTCAACGCCATGCTATGCAATGCTATGTTCGGGGCCGCTGTGCGATGCCATGCTTTGCGTTGCAAAGCTTTGTGATGCAATTCTTCACTACGCCACGCCACGCCATGCTGTGACATACTACGCTTTGCGGTGCTCTTCTACGCCATGCCATGCCGTGCTCTACAATGCATCGCGTACCCTTTTGGGATCATTGCCCTGCTCGACATCCGACTGTGCGAGTACAGAGGGGATCTACGCCATGGTAAGGGATGGGAGGGAGGGGCAGGATGTCAGATATGACGCGAGCGCACCTAGCTTGTCCTCCTCCTCCTCCTCCCCTCCTCCTCCTCCTCCTCCTCCTCGTCCTCCTCATCCTCCTCATCTTTCTCCGTCTCCCCATAGACGCGATGCTTCAAACATGCGCGTATCTGCTACGCAGTGCTATGCTATGATATGCGATGCTACGCAATGCTATGCCTCAAAACCAATGCAATGTCATGCTATGCTATGCAATGCTATGACGTATTATGAAGTGGTATGCTATGTTATGGTGCAATGCTATGCAGCGCTTTGCTCTGCCATGGCTATGCAGTGATATGCTTTAATGTGCTCTGCAATGCCATGCTATGATACGCTATGAAGTGCGATGGAGGAGGCGGCCACTACCTTGAGTACCATTGAGGTCAGCCCAGGCGGAGGGCGGCAGAAAGGTGGCGGAAGGACGGCGGAAAGGCGGCGGAAGGGTGGCGGAAGGGCGGCGGAAGGGCGGCGGAAGGGCGCGGCGGAAGGGCGGCGGCAGGGCGGAAGGGCGGCGGAAGGGCGGCGGAAGGGCGGCGGAAAGGTGGCGGAAGGGCGGCGGAAGGGCGGCGGAAGGGCGGCGGAAGGGTGGCGGAAGGGCGGCGGAAAGGCGGCGGAAGGGTGGCGGAAAGGTGGCGCAACGACGGCGGAAAGGCGGAAAGGCGGCGGGGGGCGGCGGAAAAGCGTTGGAAAGACGGCGGGCTTCCCGAGCCGTCACGGAAGGATTTCCTTGGAATTCCTGCAAATCCTGGAAATAGAAAAACGAGAATCCAGAAATTGAGGAAAAGCCGAGACGCCAGGAACCCAGGAATCGTTGAAACTCGAAGATTTCCTGGGACCCATAGAAATCAAAGAATCTATAGAACCCCCGAACTATTCGGAAATCAGAAATCCAGGAACGCGGCATGCGGAATCCAGGACTTTAGAAATCTCAAGAATCCAGGGAAACCTAGTAGCAATCCTTCAGGAATCCTTAGGAGTCTCTTCGGAATCCTAAAGGGTCCTTAGGCAGGCATCCCGTTGGAATCCTTCGGATCCCCAGGAATCTGTAGGAATCCCTCGGGAATCCCCAGGACCCCCTGAGGAACCTTCGGAATCCTCAGGGCCCCCTGAGGAACCGCTGGGAATCCTGAGGATTCCCTTAGGAATCATCGGGGATCCTTTGGAACCCGCAGGAACCCCTCAGGAATATCTGAGAATTCTTGGGGGTCCGGAGAGGCGGGTGCGAAACGGTGTACATGGTATGGTATTCCGATACCCTGCCCGCTCTGTCGGGGCCTCCCTTGTCCCCCCCTTTTTCCTATCAAATTTCTATCCCTTTTCCCTCCCTTTTTCAATGTTCCATCGTTTTTCCTCCCCATGTCCTTCCATTCTCCCTCCCTTTCTTCTTTCCTTTCCCTATCCTTATCCCTCCTTTTCTCCCTCCCATGTTCCTTCCCTTTTCCCTTCCTTTTCCGTCCCTTTTCCCTTCCTTTTTCTTTATAGTTTCCATTCCTTGTCACTTCCTTTTTCCCTCCCTTTTTCAATTGCGTTTCCCTCCCGTTTCCTCCCCTGTCCTTCCATTTTCTATCCTTTTTCGTAAATGTTCCCTCCCGTTTCACTTCCTTTTCCTTCCTTTCCCTACCGTTATCCCTTTCCTTCCTTTCCCTACCGTTTTCCCTCTCATTTTCCCTTCCTTCCCTTTTTCCCTCCCTTTCCCGTCATTTGTTCCATATATTCTCCCTTCCTTTTCCTCTCCTGTCCTTCCCGCCCTTTTCCCTGCCTTTTCCTTCCATTTTCCCTCCCTTCCCCCCCCCCCTATCCTTCCCTTTTCCTACCCTTTTCCTTCCCTTGTCCTTCCCTTTTCCGTCCCTGTTCCCTCCCTTTTTCTTTCCTTTTCCTTTCCCTCCCTTTTTCTTCTCATTCCCCTCCCTTTTCCCCCCTTTTCCCTCCCCTTTCCCTCCCTTTTCCTCCCCTGTCCTTGCCTTTTTCCATCATTTGTTCCATCCCTTTTTCCATCCTTGTTTCCCTTTCTTTTCCCTCCTTTTTCCCTCCCTTTTCCCTTCCTTGTTCCATCTCCTTTCCCTCCCTTGTTCCCTGTCTTTTTCCCTCCCTTTTCCCTCCCTGTTTCCCTCTCTTTTCCCTCCCTTTTCCTTTTCTTTTTCTCTCCTTTTTCCCTCCCTTTTCCTTCCCTGTCCTTCCCTTTTGCAACCCTCCCTTTTCGCTTTTTCCCGGGCCGAATGAAGGGCCGGGGCGGCCCGCGGAATCAATTAACTCCGGAGTTAAGTGATTTTGCGGCCGGGTGGAAGCAACACTCATAGAGTGACTTGGCTGCGGAGGTAAGTCGTCGTTTGGTGGTAGCAATACAACAGGAGAGAATAACTTCACTTCGGAGTTAAGTGATACTTACCTTCCTGGTTTCAGAGTTTTTCGACTGCACCCGAGATTGGAAGCGGCCAGGGGGTCTGCGCGGGATGGGACCCTAGAAAATCTGTCAGGAGGGTGGGGGGACGAGGCCAAATCGGCTTAAAATCGGTCCCTGGACCCTCCCAGGGTCAAACTAAGAAATTGTTCGAGCCGCGTCCAGCCGTGGCGACGAGGGGGGCCCTTTCTCCCCCCTTTCTAGCCCGATTCAATGCTGGGCCACCCCAGCCCACCAAATCACGGAAAAACACCCGCATTGAAAAAATCAGGTCATCGGAGATCTGGCTTTGGTCTGTTACATGGAGCCTACGTGGCCTCCCGTCGCTTTCCGATTTGAGCCTGATTTGGACTGGGTGTAGAACACACTTGCGATCGGATTTGGACCAGATTCGCCCCTTCACGAGACGAGCAGAACCAGGTGGGTGAGGAGGACCAGGAAGGGCGAGGAGGAGCAGGAGGATGGACCAAATGCTGTCCAGATGCCGCCCACGTGCAGGACAAGCTGATTTCAGTGTTACCGCCCAAGGCTCCCATGAAGACATCGAACATGACTAACCAACAAGCCACCCCAACCCAACCCGAAATCGCCGCTGAGCCTACCAACTTCCAGCGTGGGGAAGTTCTGGAACATCGAGAACACACACACACACACGAAGGAACACGTACACCCCCCAACCCGAAATGTGCGGGGCTCTGGGAACTTTGGGTTGAGGTGGCCTGGTAAGTAGTGAGATCGGCCACACGCAAGAGTGACCCTGGGCAAGAGTAACCTCTGGTGCGCGGCTTCTTGGGGGCCGCGAGGGGGAGACCAAACCTGGGCGCGTAAGCCGCTGCTCATCGTCGCATCGCGTTCGGCGACCAGGGGACCCCAATGAGCCCGCACCAAAGGTCACCCCGGCGAAGGGCCACCCTTTCAGCCAGGCCGAGGCAAAAGAACATCCCTCAAGAGCACGAGGCCCTCCCGCGGCCAGAGCACACGGAGAACAGCCGAGGGTGCCCTCCCCCGGGATGCACGAGAACATCCAGCAAGCACGAAGAACACGAGGGTACCCAGCCCGAACCGACCTCGATCTTATACCTCGGTCCTACCGTAGATGAGGTCGGAACATGGCGATGCATCTGAGATGCATCGGCAACCTCGGCGATGCATCAGGGCCGTCGGCGTGGAGAAAACTGGGCACCACATCGAGCCGCATCGCCGATGCATCAGCGATGCGGCGCGATCCTCCGACCCCATCTGGGAGGCCCACACGACGACGACGAAGACGAAGACGACGACGACGACGACTGGACAGGCGCGTTCCGCTACTCACAAAGTAACTACTCGCAGATGGCCTGGATCCGCCACAGGGGATCTACGATCAAATACACCAAAGCAGACATGGGTTTGGGGGAAGTTTGCGAGTACAGTCAAAACGTATATTAAGGACGGGTGGTAAGGACGCAAGACCCTTGGAGGCCGAAGTTGGGATTCTTTGGGCGGCGGGCGACCAATGAAAACAGCAGAGGACGGGCCGCAGAGGCAAGAACACAAGGGCCCCCCAGATGAAGGCGCGCGTCCTTACTAGGCGCGTTGGCTGTAGGCACTTTGCGAGTCGTGGACCGCGCTCGGCGAACGACGCCCATCCTCAGCGACGGCGTGCTGGCCACCCCGGCGAGCGAGCCCGGCCTCCCC